TTGAGAAAAGAGGTGAAGTTGATACTTCAACTTTTACCAGAGTGTTTTTATACGGCAGTATCTATACTTCTACTTAAGTAACAAATGTGTGTACTTTTGACACCACTAATACTTTTAGGTAAGGTAGAAATAGGGTTTTAATCTCAAGGGAAAACTGGATGTTAAATATCCATTTAAGTGTACATCATTGAAATCCTTTTATATTTCTGTTTGGGATGTGAGATTGTGAAATAGCTTAAATATGGAGCTCAGACGATGTCCAAGCGTGATCCAATTTAATGAGTTATGATAGGTTTTATTTTTCATAATTTATCATTTTTATTTTTATTTTGTTTGTGCTGCATCGTCTTTCTTCTTTGTTGTTTCCTTTCTATGGTTTATTTTCATTACATGATATTTGACGGTAAAAATGGGGCAGGATTCAATAAGCCTCTGCTTCTTTCTGCTTTTTTTTCAATATTGTTGTATAGTAATTTACTAAAACTGTGTGCTTCGGTTTATGTTTATCTATAAAATAGATAAAGGTATTTCATTAATTCATTCAGTTCTGTATATTGAAACAAAAATACAATAATTTATTTGAGCACCTAAGTTGGCTTAAAGTTATTAGCAACATTATTTAGAATGTAGGTTGATGAGTTTCAAGCATTCAGCCAACAGAAGACAGCACAGCATAGCACTGGATTAAATTATATTATTATTAGATCATCACTTTTGTAATAATTCCGTTTCATTAGTTTTGTTAGTCCTAATGGGCATTTTATCTGGCACAGCTTTTCTCAAGCTGTGCAATTTTTAACATTTCTACTAATCTATAGTGTGGAGGTGCTGGTTTCCTATGGTGCTGCTTTTGGCCTAACCATAAAAAAACACAACCATGGACAACTGTAATTGGAAAATGCAACCCTGGAAGTATGTCAAGCTTTTGATTAGCTCTTTCAGTAACCAGCCTGATGTTTGTTTACCAGAGATGCCTGTTGTGGTTTGCCAAAGTGCAGTTTTATCACAATGATACATTAATAAATAGTGATTGGTGGGCCTCTTTAGTGTGCAGAGCACGAGTGGCTTAATTTTCACCACTTCTTTTAACAAGCAGACTGGTGGTGTGCATTGACAGGCATAGCAGAGGCAGATCTGCATTCCATTGTGGTGGAGGAAATGCTGCTTAAAGATGCTCCTTAAGAATTACTCTTCACTGCAGAATCGTGTGATGGATTTATTCTCCTCTTTTTTTGTTGCTGTTTTTGAAAAAGTTTCTAAATCTAATATTTAAACTAATCTATAACTTAATGTAAAGCCTCAGTGTTAATAAAGTGGAAGATTATAAATAGTTAGATTTGGTCAAGGGCAACCCTTACTTTGTATAATACATGTAAAGGCCTCCAATCAGGAGGATGACCAGGATGATGGGCAGAATTATTGCCAAGGCGATGTTTTCACTCAGGATCTGATGGGATGGCCCATCAGTCTGGGACACTGCAAAACAATGAACAAGTTGTTTTCATCAAATAAAAAGTGTATTTCGCTTTGTGCTAAACATACAACCAATAAAACTTATTTAGATCTCAAACAGAGTAGCTTTTTATGTAGGAATTGGTCGAAACGTGCATTGAGATAAAAAATCACCTTCTGCCTTGCGGTCATCAAAAAGCCCTTCGTATGCCACTGAAAAAAGGAAATAAGATATTACTAAACAGTTCAACATCTCAAAAAAAAGGAAGAAAAAAGAAAAAAAAAGAAGAAAAACAGGAAAAAGAAGAAAAAAATGAAATAAAAAAGGTGTTTTATTTTATAGCCAAAAAATGAGAGAAAACTGTATTGATAATGAGAAAACACGAAAGTCAAACTTTGTAAAATAAAAGTAATTCATATTGTCCAAACAGCAATAAAAAGTAAATAAATGAGACTAATCTAATTTTTTTTTCTAATCATTTGATCCAGAGCACTGATAAATAGGGGTTTATTAAGATATGGTTCATCGTCCTGATGCTATTTTAATGCAGGCGAGCACTTAAAATATAAATAAATCTTCAAGCTGTCTCCATAATGACCTTTCTATTACTACTGGTTCATAGCTTCTCATTATGCCCTGGATATATGTATTTTTAATGATATTTGATTGTCTGTATTTCTAAATGTGAAACACTTAAACTGGTCTAACCTCATCTTTACTGATGTACACTAAACAAAAATGATGTGTTTTTTGTGTCTTAAAGTATTTTTTCAGTGTGCCACAACAGTGAGAATGAACCAAAAAAATCCAGGAGCGGAGACCACCTTTACCTTTGCAGAAAGGTGGAGGGCTGTTCCACTGAGATGGGTGGCCAGGCACACAGGTAATGATGACCTCTCCAATGAGTTCATAGCCTTCGTAGCAGAAGAAGCGCAAAGTTTCTCCGGCCTGGTATGTGTGTTTGTACAAAGTTTGGTAGCCGTTGTCAGGGGCTCCAGGGTTGGTGCATGGGTCATATTTCACTGAACAGAGCAAACATAAAATTTCTCACTTTAAAACTGATGGACACAAAGTTATCAGAACAAACTTGCATTTTGATTGAGGAAAAAAAAAAAAAGAAAAAAACAGGCCTTACAGACACACTTTGGGCTGCGGTCGCTCCATTTAGGGGTACCAGTGTCCCGCCCGTGGCAGGAGATTTGGCTGGGGCCTTCAAGTTGGTAACCCTGGTTACAAGAGAAACGCACTACCGTCCCCACAGTGAAGCCTGCTTCAGGACGCACAGAGCGTCCTGAAGTAGCCCCATTCACCACCTCTCCTGGATCAGGACACTGCTGGACTGTGAGGGGTAAAATGGGACTTAAGTTACAAAAAATCCCCAAAGACATCAGGGGACTAAGGAGAAGAAACTACATGAATGTCTAACAAAAGGCAAGACAGAGTCCAGTTACACTCTACCAATTTTTTCAATAGAGTGGTTGTCAAGAGGTTATTTTTTTTAAAAAGATCTAAGACAGCCAGCTTAGTTAAACATAATCTTTCACAAAAATTTGACCAAAAACTTATTTTAACATACTTTCTCTTTTACTTACACAAAGACATAGAATATTTAATTAATGCAATATAGCAGGAGGATAATTTATTATTAGGCTCCAATAATATTCAGACTTCTATATGTTGAATTTCTTTGTTTACCCCCCTAAAATCTGACACCTCTAAATTAAATCAAGTGTAATATATTTCTTTCTGAAATGAGAAGCTGTAAATAATTCACCTGCATGTCATTTATTCTCAGTATAAATCCAGTTTAATAAAACTTGATTATAAAACAACATCCCAAGATCTGAGCATCTTGGGATGGCTGCCCCGTTCATTGTTCAGAAAAGCAGTACATACATAGTAGTTTGTGCTCCTAAATTATATCTATATGGAAGACTGTGGAGCAGAAAACAAAATTAATTTTAAAAGTTTTCACCAGTTAGACACAACAGACAGCAAACTGGTCCTTTAAGTTGAGGGAAAAATTTCTTTCTTTGACTTCCAGCATTGAAAGTGAAAAAACATAATCTCACCCTGAAAACATTATATTATTTCCCCAGGGAAAAACATGTTGCAAAATTATGCTGCTGGAAATTGAACAGAAAGATAAGTAAAAGTATATACAGCACAGTCAGCAGTAAATTTGACTGGTGATGTTCACCCAACTGGAATATGACCACAGCATAAGCAGTGCACATGTTAGAACTGCTTTGAGCTATTTTATATATATATATATATATATATATATATATATATATATATATATATATATATATATATATATATA